CCCTGGTAATTATCAGTGTGTGGGAATGGGTGCCTTTACTTTCCCTGTGACTGTGGAGGCTTTTCTTCCTCTACCCTCTCTTAGAAACAGAAAGAGGAGAGAAGTCCAAGGGGAACAGTGCAGTGATGAGATTTTCCTGGCCCGCTCTGTGGGTGCTGTTGGTGGAGGCTTCGTTAGCATCCTCACCATCGGCATACATCTGGGAGTTGTGGCTGAACAATATCGTGAAGCACTATTTGCCCTAACATGCAGGTTGGAGAAAACCATCAATGCCACTACACATATCCTCCGACAGTTGCAGTCCGAGATTGAGGATTTGAACCAGATAGCAGCAGCTAATAGACTTGCTCTTGACTATCTCCTTGCCAAATCAGGAGGTTTTTTGTAAAATAGTCCCGGAAGGCAACTGCAGAGTGAAGTTTCATGACCTCAACAACACTATTGAGGACGAGTTGCCAAAATTACAGGCCCTTATAAATGATAACCAACCCAGTCAGAATCCTTGGGAATGGATGTGGTCTTGGGTCCCAGGAGTAGGATGGTTACATAGCCTTTTGACCGCCATTGCGGTAGGAGGATTAGTCTTCTTAATACTTCTTTGCATCCCCCCTTGCTGCATATCTCTAGTCAGAGGAATGGTGGCCCGAAGCATTAAGAATCTCACTGAAACCCACATCATGGCCATATACCGAGCCCTGCCCCCCCCCCCCGGCAGAAGAAGAGCATGAGTATGCTTGACTAATTCATGAAATGCCCCCTGAAGAGATCCCCTTGAGAGACACAGTTGTCTATACCGGGGTTCAACATGAGAGTCAATCTGGAGAAAACAACTGTGACTTGTTTCTAAGCTTGAAAGGGGGGAATGTGGCAAGGCCACCTGGAAGAGTTTTACCTTTACCTTTTATGTATAACCATAAATACTGATAATAATGCTTAAATTGTTAAGGCTAGAAGTGCCTAAAATCTTAAGAATCAAAATTTATGCTTGCAACATACGCTTCTGGTTTCTTGTTGAATGATTTTTTAAAAACCTTAATGATTTCTTCATGAACTTTGTTCCAAAAGCTTTTTATCTCCTTACACCCCACCATATATGGTACATTGTTCCTATCTCGGTGTTACATCTCCAGCACACATTGGTTTTTTGCTTATAGATTTTTGCCGATTCCATGGGGCAGGGGTTAGGTACCACCGGTAGATCATTTTCATTAGATTCTCCCTTATTGTATAACATGCTGTGAACTTGATGTCAAATTTCCACAGCTAACATTATGTTGTGGCCAAAATCCTGCGCCCACTTTATCATAACGTCCTTTAGCATCTCATCCTTGAGTTCCCATTCCAAAAGTAGATCATACATCCTAGATAGGGTCTTTTTATTAATTTGTACTAATTCCTTTTGTAAGAATGACTTCTTTTCTCCAAAACCAATTTTCTTATCCTGATTAAGTATATGCACTATTTGGTGATATTGAATCCAGCCGTTACAATACTGTTTAATTTCTTCATACAATTTGATTTTTAATTGGCCCTGTTCTACCTTTATTAATTGTTGGTAAGTTGCCCAATTTGTGCCCATGTTTGTCTTTTTTACCGTTATCATCTCCACTGGGGATGCCCACCAGGGTATTTTGGGCTCTAATAGTCTGTAGTACTTATCCCAGACCTTGTATAATGAAATTCTTACTACAGTGGTGCCCCGCAAGACGAAATTAATTCGTTCCGCAAGTTTTGTCGTCTAGCGAATTTTTCGTCTTGCGAATCACGAAATCCCATAGGAATGCATTGAAAATCAATTAATGCGTTCCTATGGTCAAAAAAAGTCCAAACAAAGCCAAATTTGGTACAACAACAGTTTATTAACTGCTCTTTAAAGTCACACATACTGTAAAGAGCAGTTCAAAAATTGAAGGGAAAATAAATTAACTTTATAAACATGACAGAAAAAACATTTAAAAATCAACAAAGTGTACAGTACATTTTCTAAGACTCTGGGGGACCACTCGAAGAAGGCTCCTCTTCCACTCTTTGCTTCTTGCTCAAGAACCTGTCCATAGTTCTGCTGCTTCATCCGCCTTTTCAGCACCTCCCTGAAAGACGACATGACCCTCGTATCAAAAGTGTTCGCAAGGTCACGTGTCAGGTCCTTGTCAGGGTGGTGCCACTGTGCAAAAGCCTGCACATCTTTCCACTTTCTGACAAATGTCCCTCAGTTCTTTGGAGGACACAACCTCCAGGAACTCCGCTGCAAAGTCTTCAGCCGCAGGAACATCAGAACTGGCAGCCTCTCCATGCCTGACCACTTCTCGACCTCCTCCAGAACAGCTGGGCGGTTCTTCACGATCCTGGTGACTCCCTTGGCTGCATCAGTCGCCAGGATCTTCTCCCTCATCTTCAGGATGGTCCCGATGGTTGATGGATTCCTCCCGTACTCCCTGGCGATGTCCGTCACACGCATTCCGCCGTCGTGCTTCCGGATGATCTCCTTCTTCATTTCCAGCGTCACCTTCTCCTTCTTCCTCTCGCCGGCCACCGCAGCAGCAGTCTTCTTGGGTCCCATGGCAGCACAGCTCTTACCTTCGTAAACTCAGAAAAAGAAAAAATCAGTGATGTGCTTCAAATCCAAAAAATTCAAAAGCACCCAGCCACCCACCACACAGAAATTAAAACCCAGAACCAAGGCCTTGAATCCCAAACACCCAACCCAAAATCCAAAATCCAAAAACCCCCAAAAAGTTTTAAAAGTTTAACTTGCCAAATGGATGCAAGAGAAGTTCTGGAAAAGCTTCAACAATCAATCACCGAAGTCTTCAGAAACCTCAAATGGCTGCAAAATAAGTTTTGGAAAAGCTTCAAAAATCACCAATGTCTTCAAAAACCTCAACTGCTCCCACAGACACCCACCCACCCACCACACAGAAATTGCAAACCCCTCCCCAACTGCTCCCCCTGCCCCTCCCCAACTGCTGCAAACCCCTCCCCAACTGTTCCCCCACCCAGACAAAAAAAAATTTCAAAAAATAACAACATGGCCCAATGGTCCCAGATTCCTGCAGAAACCTCCCCAACCGTTCCCCCAGCCAGCCAGCACTCAGAAATTCAAACTCAGAAAAAAAATTGAAAAAAAACAACATGGCCCAATGGTCACAGAAAATCATAAAAATTCCAAAAAAAGCCCCACAAGCTCCCAGATTCCTGCAGAAACCTCCCCAACTGTTCCCCCAGCCAGCCAGCACTCAGAAATTCAAACTCAGAATTTTTTTTTGAAAAAACAACAACATGGCCCAATGGTCACAGAAAATCATACAAATTCCCAAAAAAGCCCCACAAGCTCCCAGATTCCTGCAGAAACCTCTCCAACTGTTCCCCCAGCCAGCCAGCACTCAGAAATTCAAACTCAGAAAAATTTTCAAAAAAAAACCAACCTGGCCCAATGGTCACAGAAAATCATAAAAATTCCAAAAAAAGCCCCACAAGCTCCCAGATTATCGCAAACCCCCCACAACACCAAGTCCTTGAATCCCAAACACCCCAACCCAAAATCCAAAACCCCCCAAAAAAGTTTTAAAAGTTTAACTTACCAAATGGTAAGTTTTGGAAAAGCTTCAAAAGTGAGCAAAGTCTGAGAAAAGGCTACCAAACCACGTGCTAACAGTTGCTCCTCGAAGTCAAGTCGCAACTGCAGCTGTTCAAGCTAAGCACCCTTTGTTTTAACGGTTTTTAGACAAAGGAAACAAAGTCGCGAGACGTTTTCGTCTTGCGAAGCAAGCCCATAGGGAAAATCGTCTTGCGAGGCAACTCGAAAACGGAAAAACCTTTCGTCTAGCGAGTTTTTTGTCTTGCGAGGCATTCGTCTTGCGAGGTACCACTGTATATGATTTTAAAAGTCCTTATGCACTGCCACTTTGTTGTATGTTAGGTAGGCGTGCCATCCAAACCTCGTATTCCAACCTTCTAAATCTAATATATCAGCCTTCTTCAAGAAGGTGGGGTTGTTTTAAATGGTTGTTAAATGTGTTACGTTGATTTAGATTTTGTATTTGTGGGCTGGAGTGTTGTTTCAGGGCTCTTGTATTGTTTATTAGTGTGCATACATTGGTCTTGTGGCTATTTTTAGTATGTTTTTATTTAATTTATATTATGTTCTGATATTTTTATTATGAATTTTGTGCAGTGATTATTCTTATTATTTATTTTGTGCTTCATATACTTGGTGTTGTGAACCACCCTGAGATTCAAAATCAATAAAATCAACAATCAAAAACAACATCAACAAGAAACACAACAACAAAAAGGTTTCCTACCGCTGTGTACGGAGGGTCGTGAGGGCAGCACCACTCCTCTTGGTCGATCCTGATGGTGTTGATGTTCCTGGCGCTGGTCCAGACTGGATCCTGCGGAGAGCAGAAGATGGTATCTCTGCAGCACAACTCTGGTGTCCACGTTGCCTTGGCGCTACTCCGGATGTTCTGTCAGGAGGAGAAAGGGGCTCGTTGAGAAACGTCCCATCCAAACAGCCCACCAGATGTCCCAATAGCCCACCAGATGCCTCACTCACCTGGCATGCAGCTCAGGAAGTCCTTCGGGTAAGGTTCCCTGTGAACGCAGTGGAGCATCCTCCTCAAAAAGCGCTGGACCCTGCCTTTCTTCCGATGTCTATAGGCCCGCTGCATGATGTTCAGGCAGCTCCTCCCTGTCTGCCTAAGCTCTTCTTCCTCGTGCTGCTGCATCTCTTCCAGCCCTGAGTGGCAAGGGAGAAAGGTTGAGCAAGGGGGAGATACACAGGAAAAGAGCCACCCATCAACAATATGAAAACAGCCGTCAGCTGTGTTTGTGTGTAAGAGAGAGCAGTGAAGTCACATTCCAATTCTCTTTGCATGTTCATCTTGTGGCACCTCTGCCTGAACATACATCTGAGAATTTGCCTTCCCCTGAAGACCTTTCTCAGCAGAAGCATCCCTCCCTGCCCTCCGTACGTCTCACTCACATGTTCCATAGGATGCCATGTCTTGATTGTGGATGAAACTGGCATCCCGGAAAGCCAGATGACCTAGAGAGAGAGAGAGGGCAAGAAAAGGGACGTCATCTTGGTGCAAAGCAAGCGGAGACAGAGGCAGCTCGGCAGGAGGACAGGTATGCTCTAGAGGCCTCCACCCTCACGGAGCACTCAGAGCAAGATCTGGGCACAGATGGAGGCCTACCTAGCAGGTGGCCTGGGGACATGTCCATCCTCCCTGCCATTGTTACCAAGACGTTTCTGTCCCTCCCTACCAGGGAAGAACGTTGCTTGACTTACCCAGAAGCAGAGCTGCCACCCTGGAGACTGCTGGCAGGCTGTTGGCAGACGGCTGCGTACATGATAAGGCAGCACTCCGAAGGATGCCCTTGCTGAAGGTCTTGCTCTGTGGGCAAAGACAAAGGAGAAGTGGCATCAGAGAGGCTTGAGAGCGCAGCAGAAGAGCCTTGCACTCCCAAAGACATGCTTGGGCAAAGCTGCCAACAAAGGCAGAGGGACCTTACCATATGCTTGGCAGCCTGGTGGAGAGCAAAGTGGAGGCTAAATTTGTTGGAATGAGCCCACCACTTGACTTCTGGGGCTAGATGGGAAAGAGCCCTCCTTGCGGCCTGCAACACAAGAAGAGAAGAGGGTTACAAATTGCGGGACATAGTCTCGGAAGCTCCTGAGAACAATCCCTCCCTCCTACTGCATAAGTCCACCTCTTTGGCCCTCACCTTGGCCACTTCAAGGTCCTCGTCTTCGAGGTGAATGAGGACCACAACCAGTTCGTGAATGGCTTCCTTTTCTGTTGTTGTAATGGGAAGTCTTTGGTCTCTCGCCCAGCCCCGAAGCAGCCCCAGATGTTCGATGGCTGATTCCCGGACGGAGGCTTCCTCCTATAGGCAGAAAATATCAGAGGTTGTGTTTCTCATCAGATCACTTTCCAGAGGAACACCCTCCTGAAGCCAGAACATCTCCGCTGCATGCCAGTCTAAACCCCACCCTTCCTCTTCCAAAGCATTCCTCCTCCATTGGGTGTGGTGTCATGTTTCCCCTCATACTCACATGGGCAGCCAGGCCGCAGTAGGTTGCCGCCAGCATCTCCAGGTCTTCCTCTCCCAGCTCCCTGGAATGGTAGGCTTGGTCTACCAGCTCTATCAACTCTGGGAGGACATCAGCTTCTACATAAGAGAGGGAATCCCTCAGGAAGAGCCGCAGAAGCGCAGGGTCCTACACAAAAGAGAGAATCTTTTCAAAGGTCTGAAAGGCCTCATGCCTTTTAGCACAGGCCCTTCAGTATTGTGCCAGCAAAAGAGTGCTGGGCCATGATTAGAATCGAGATCTGTACCCCCCCTTCCTCTGAGCATCACTTGCCATGCCAGAGTCCAGAAGCAGGGATATCCCTCTGACGCTGAGCTTCCGGACTTCCAGGCAGTCGTATTCCAGCCAGTTGAGGAGCTGCTCCAGTGTATCTTCACAGGGATAGACCTCCAGACGGCAGCTGAGCAGCTAAAGAGGCCCAAAGAGAAAGAAACCCTTCAGGGATAAGAGGCTGAGGCAGGTTCTCCTTTTGCCCACCATTTGCAATTCTGCACAGAGCAAACCCACTGAAGTGAATGGACCAAAGTTTGCCATGTACATCAAATCCAATGGGTCTACTCTGAGGAGCACTAAAACAGGCAACAGTCCTTAGGCTCAAAGTAGCCCAACACTCGGCAGAAACCAAGCCAGGGCCTCCTTGCTGCACCCATTTCCTCCCGCGTCAGTCCCCCTCACCTCGATGTAGATAGCTGCCGCGACTTGTGGCATCCCGGCAAAATCCTGGTCCTCGAGAGCAGCGATGATGCTTTCCACCATGGGAGGGATCCACCAGCTTCGCTTTCCGACAGCTCTGAAATGGAGAAGGAGATCTTGGTAAGGAAGGGAAAGACACCGCAGGAAGCAAACGGGCACAGTCCGATCCTGTGCCTTCAGCTCCGTTTGCCAGACCACTGGGGAAGGTCACCGCGTTCTTCCTCTTACCTCACCATGGCAGACAACCCCTGGCTGAAAGTCTCCCGGCAGAAAAGTTGGTTGACGATGGCCGCCTCTACTTCTTCTCCAGTGGTGCCAAGAAGGAGGTGCAGAACTTCCTTAGCCCCTCTGGAACCAAAGCAAGGCCAGTTTTACCAGGAGGGTCATTGGCACACACTCACATTCCTTCCCCAGCAGCCGCCTGAAGGAGAGCCTCCCTTGGAAAAGCAAGCTGGACTGGAAACCCCCCGAGGCTGAAGGGGAAAGGACTCCATTGGTCCCTTTGCAACACACTACTCACCCGAGGAATTCCTGATAGTAGTGGAAGTTGACAACCATCCCCAGGAGAGCGATCAGCAGCTGTGGGAAGTTCTGGCGCACAGCTGCCTTGTAGTCCTCCATCCTGAGGATGGCGTGCAACAGGCTGCTGAGATGTTGCTGGAAGAGAGAGGGGTGCAAGTCACTTTCTCTGCTTTTCTGCAGAATACAGGAACCCCTCGATATTACCCTGGGAAGAAGGAAGCCAGGAAGCAGGTGGTTGGTCCTTACCACTTGGGTGGCAGATTCCGCCAAGGGGCTTTGGTAAAGCTGCTCGGCCATGAGATGGATCAGCTTTTCTGGATCGGCCGATGGTAAAACCTCCTTCCATACTATCTCGCAGTCTCTGTGAATGCAAAAACAAGAGCAATGGTCAGATTCAAGTCTTCTGCTTGCTGCCATGCTCCAGAGAGAGGAAATGGCAGCAAGGGCTTTCTGAGCAAGCCCTGCAGCTTGCCAACCTCCCCCTTAGCCCAGTAGAACCTGGAGGGCTCCATACCCGAAGGGAAACTGGAGGAGATACTGCACCACTTTCTCCAGGTGGTGGTGCGCCAAGATGGAGAAAGCGAAGACGGCCATGTTCCTGCCTTGCACTGTAGGCCCCTGGGCGATCTTATAGAAGGCCTCCAGCAGCACCTCCACCTGTCAGAGAAAAGGAGAGGGTTGCTTGGAGAGTACAAGGAAGCGGGGCTGTCTCCATCCCTCATTGAAAGAGGGACCCTTGACCTGTGCCACCACAGCCTCTTCCTTCCAAGGTACCACTCAGGGTCCTGGGGAGTATTGGACCCAGGCAGCTCCAGGGCGCCAGTTCCCCTCTCCATTGTGGGCCAAGAGAAGAAGCTTGCCAGTCTGCTCCCAGAAGGAGGAGGGTTCCCCATCCCTGAACCCATGTTTCTCAGGACCCTTGGCTGAGCTTCTTGTCCTGACGTTGCCAGGCCCCTCTCAACTAACATGTGTCCTGGCCACCCAATGGCATGAGGTGGCCTCCCCTACACCAAAGTGGAGAATCTTCTTCTCTCCTACCTTTGAAGACGCCTTACCTTCACTTTTGTGCCGCCAAACTGCTTGATGAAATCTTGCAGCAGGTGGGAGATGTCCAAGGGGTCGAAGCTGCTCTCAAGAACCAGGTCTCTGGCCAGGAAGCACATGGCCTCCAAGAGCTGCGCCGCAGGGAGAAAGGCGCCAAAGACCTGAAGCGAGAGAGGAAGGTCAGAGATGCCCACAGGGCAGGGCTGGGGAGCAGAAAGCCCAGGTGCTGCCTCTGCGGAACCCAGAACATGTGGCTTGAGAGACAGCGACTTACCCTGACAAGAGAGTGACAGTTATTCACGAACAGCCCAGGAACCGGTCCTCCGGTGGATTCGAGGACCTGCTCAGCTCCGATGATGTGCATTTGGTTCCTTAACGTTCCTGCCAGTGTCTCTGCAAAGGAAAGCCAAAGGGTTAGTTTGGGTCTTGCTCACCCCACCCCATGCTGGGATGCATTCTTCCAGTCTTACCTTTGTTGTGCCGCAGGATGGGCAGAAGATGGCAGAGAGCCTCTGCTGCCCGCTGCCTGCTCTCCGGGTCCGGATCCAATGCACAAAGGCAGGAAATCGCCACCAGTTGGCCATAGGAGCATGCATGAATCACTGCCGATGGCTGAGAAGAAACCCAGAGAAGGGACTGATCACCATTTTTCCTATAACATTTTTATTCCAAACATTCCAAAACATTTAGCATCCTAAACCTAAACCCTCTTTTCCTAATGTTTGCTTTTTTTCTTCTTTTCTCAGCCACTTTACTCACTATGGCCCAGCTCTGTTCTCCAAATTGAGTATGTGCTGGGATGCCTGATCGTCCCTTGGGCACCTTGCAGGATGGGCCTAGAAGCAGCAGCCTGAAGGCCTTGACAGCCCTGCATGGTTGCAATGCTTCCCTTCAGTAAAGCCACTTCTGAGCTGGAGAGGAGGTGGGGTTGTGGGCTTCATGCCCTCCCCCCACGTACTCGGGGCTGGCTTGCAGCCCCGTGAGAGCAGGGAATCCTCGGGCGTGTCATCTCCCTTGCCAGACAATCGGCTGGCCTGGGAGGCGTGGCCGGGCCGGCGCGGCTGAGATCCCCCAGCGCCCCAGCTGCTCCGGTTTTCCCACCCTCCCACCCTTTAGGTTTGGCTCTTTGACATTGCTATGGACTTCGGTTGGTCTCCGTCAAGGGGCCTGGTAGGAATTTTTTCCACTTGGCAAATTGGCACCAGCCTTTTGGCTTTTTGCCTACCTCGTAGCAAATCGTCACAACTTCCTCGGCATTGGCGGTTAGGCATTGGTAAGGGTATTGTTATGCAGATGAGTGGGGGGGAGGAAGCGCCATCACCTTCCCCCATATCGAAGGGTAGTCCGGTAAAGGATTCCGTGGGGCGTTGCCCTGTCCGAAGCCTATGGAGGTGTGGGCCTAAGGCATGCCCCCGAGCGGTGACTCCGGGGGAGCTCCTAGTTGATGTACATCAGCAGGACTCCCCCTACTGGTGGTTAACCCTTGCCGGTCTTCTAGCAATCAGGCTGAAGCCGGTTAGTCGATAGGACCAATGCCTAAGCCAATACCACTCAATTCCTGTAATCAATAAAGTTGTGGCCTAATTTTGCCCATTAACCTAAAATACTGGTGTCCTGTGTCTTTATTTCCGTGGGGGAGGCGGGAACTCGCCACGCAACTCACATGTTCCTGGATCTTCTGCAGGAAGGCGCAAAGATCTCGGAGCGCCTTCCTTCGGATCATCCCATTCTTTATTGTTGCGACGAAATCCGTAAGTCTGTTGTTCAGCTGGTCCCTGCTGCCGCTTTCAGGAGGAAGATCAGCCGCATCCAGAGAAGCTGTGGTTGGGATGCTGAGGGGAGACAGGAGTAGCACTTTTGTCAAAAGGGTTTATTGCCTCCCATCCTTCAAAGACCCCAAGCACCACCACCATAGAAATGGACCGGGGTTTTTTTTAAAAGCAATTGATTATGGGGGAGGGGATTAGCACAGGATTACCTTGGAGGAAGATCCTCCCCATCTTCCAGGCCGATTTCCGATATTTGATCTTCATCAAAATCAATTCCCTGCCCATGAGAAAAGAGAAAAGAGAAACAGGAACATCAGAATGTGAAGAATGGATCAGACCCATTCATGTTTTTGTGTTCATCAGGAAAGCACAGACGAGGTAGGTTGGGAAACAAACTGAAAATCTCTGGCCTCCATTTCCTTAGAGACCTTATTCATCCTT